AAAAAGAATTTATCTGTAGTTGCCCTGTGGTTCTGTAATTTCTTGAGTCCAGGTCTTTCTAGTATATATCTGTGTGGACCAGAAAGACAATGTGCTGAATGACCCTCTTATTTTAACATGTAGGTTTGTGTTACATTCTGCACTGATATGGCTGAATATTTTCCAACATTAGACCCAAACAGAATACAAATTTACAGATTCAAGTAACTCAGAATACACAAACCATACTTTGGTCTCAAAGCTGTTCATATCATCATATCCAAGCCACACCTTTCCCTTCGAAGCCAATGGGACAATCTCCGCTGGAAACATTTGCGTTTCAGAATTTTTCAAGAAGTCACAGATCTGTCGATGAGGAGAATTGGTTATTACTATATGATTAAGAGATATAAAAAATACAAAAATATATCTTTAAAAATTGTGTAGAAAGTTGCCGAGGCCTTTGATAAATATTTGACTTCACTACCTGGGTAATATTCAGAAATGGGTGGAACAGATTGTTTATTTAGGTGGAATAAAAGTCAGCGTTTTTCTATAAAAGGCTGATTATGCACCTGTCAGATTACCTGCAGGTAACAAGGCTTTAATTGACTTCTTTAATTCTGGCCTCTGTCATATACAAATGTGCAAAGCATTCAGGACTGGCTAATGCAGAATCCATTTTTAAAAAGTGAAAGCTGATGGATCAGTTAGCTTCATACCTGCGGTAGGGAAAATTTCTGAGCCTTTAAGAAGAACTTCTAAAAACTTACCAACCACTTACTTTCTGTTAAGAAAATAAAATAAAATTCTCCTAGTTTAAGACAAGGACAAACAAGCTCTGCTGGAGAGCAGCTGATTTGTTAATTGGGTAACCTGGTTGCTGAGGTTTAGCTCCAAACAATATAAATCCATAGATCCCAGTGAAGTTTCAAATGGAGTGCAGATTTTGAGCACAGTGAGCAGAATTGAGTTCAGTGAATGGGGAATTTCCTAAAGAGGGCGGGTGTTCCTTCTTCTCTTTGTTTAATCTACTTTTTCACCCCTTAGTATTTGGTTCCTACTTAAGTATAGTGGAAAAAGCTAATTGTAGATAAATGGTGAACTATTTTATTTAAAATAAATAGTTTATAAAATTGAGATGTGGCAGGACAGCTTGACCAAGTGGAAAATATAGTCTGTAGCATGTGGAAAGTTGTGGGTGCACCATTTGTTCAAAACAAACATACTTGCAGGAAGTGTCATTGACTGCTCAAGCTTGAGCTCTAGGTTTCCGAGCTTGAGAGCAATGGCTGGGGTCACTGTCGTGCATCCATAAGCCAGAGATCTATGTGGCTAGCTTGCTTAGGGAAGCAGTCACCTGCAAGTTTAGGAATGAACAGGAAACTGTTTGGCAGTCAAAGGTACCAAGGCAGGTAGTGCATGATTCCCTTGAGATAATCTCACTCACTAATCAGGAGGTTAAAAGGCAGGATTTCAAAAGCAGTAATGTCAGATTACTTCAAGTCATATGTGCAGTGAGCATCAGAATAGTAGATTTGAGTGATTGAATACATGGGGGGAGAACTGGTTTAGGACGGACAGCATCAGAATTCTGAGTATTTAGACTGATTCTGGGGCGGACGTAACTTGTACAAGATGGCTGAGTTGTATTTTAGCAGGACAGGGACTAACATCCTCACATGGAGATTTGCTACTGCTGTGGGGAATGGGAAATTGAGGTGAGCTCAGATTGGAAGGAAGCAAAGCCAGTCACAAGAAGTAGAGAGGTGGTAAGCTAAATAGAAGATAGATGAATCAAGGACAAGTATCAAATAGGTGCCAAATGCAAAACAGTTTTAAAATGACAGACTTAAAGTCCACCTTATTTTTGTGCATGCAGCATTCACAATAAGGTTGGTTATTTGAAGGCACAAATTGGGGCAAATGGGTGTGATTTAATTGTCATCACAAAAATACGGCTACAGGATGACCAAGATTGGGAATTAAATATCCAGGAGTAATCGTGACTGAGGAAGAATAGGCAAAGGAGAAAAGAAGGTGGAGTAGCACTCATAATAAAGGACAAGATCAGTCCATTAGTGAGAGAGGATCTTAGACTGAAAGGTCAGGACATAGAATCAATTTGGGTGGAGCTGAGGAATGACACAGGGTAGTAAGAATTAATTAGAGTTGTTTATCAGCCATTAAACAGAAGTGGTAATGTTGGGCATGATATAAATCTGGAAATGAGGTGGGTATGAGGTGACTAATACAGTAATAATGGATTACTTCAATTTATATATGGACTGGCTAAACTTAATTGGCATCACTGTTGTGCTTTGATATCCCGGAGTGTATAAGACATGGATAAATAAACTAGGTTGAGTGTTATACAATGAGAAAGTTTGATTAATAATCATGCTGTGAAAGCACATTTTGGAAATATTGACCATACTATGATAGAATTTTGCAATAAATTTGAATTACGTTTGTTTTAAATTCTGAAACTAGGGTCTTGAATTCAGGCAAGGAAATTTAAGAAGCTATGAGGGGCAAGTTGGGAATGGTAGATTGGGAAAATACACTAAAATTTTTGATGGTAGACAGGCAATATGTAGTATTTAAAGAATAATCATGTGATCTACAACAGATATACATTCCTCTAAGGCAGACATATCCAATAGAAAATTGAATCAATGGTGGCTAACAAAAGAACATAACGTTTGCATTAAATCAATGGAAGTGGCCTATACAGTTGCCAGAAAAACAGTGGTAAACCTGAGGATTGGGAGCTGTTTAGAAACCATCAAAGGATAACCAAAAAATTAATAAAGAAAGGGAAAAGACAGTATGAATACAGGCCAGGAAGAACGTTAAGGTAGACTGTAAAAGTTTATTTAATTATGTGAAAAGAAATGATTAGTCTGGACAAATGTAGGCTCTTCATAGAGGAAGATGGGAGAATTTGTAATGGAGAACAGGAAATGATGGAGGAGCAATCACTTTGTGTCTGTCTTTATGGACAAAATCTCCCAGAAATAATAGGAAACCAAGGGACTTGTGAAACTGAGGAACTGAAGGAAATTAGTATTAGTAAAGAGGTGGTTCTTGAAAAGTTGATAATTCCCCTGGACCAGTCAAACTGCATCCCAGAATGTTGAAGGAGGTGCCAACAGGGATATTGGATGCATTGGTGATTATTTTTCAAAATTCAATAGATTCTCAAAAGTTTGTGGAAGATTATAAAGTAGTACCTGCATTTAGGAACACTCAAGAAGTGAGGGGAAAGGGGTTAGGGATTGGAGAAGGAGAAGGCTGAACTATGGACTGATTTATGTGAGGAGAAAATATTAGGATATATCATGCATGATGTGGTAACTGAATAATTAGAAAACAATGGTAAAAATGGGCAGAGAAAACATAGGTTTTTCCAAAGTGATTTCCCTTTCATAAACCTATTTGAGGCTTTGAGGATTTAATTTTGTATGGATAAAGGAGAACCAGAGGTGTATTTGGATTTTCAGGAAGCTATTGATAAGATTTGAGAAGGTAAGTTGAATAAAGTACAGGACAAGAGACTGGGAGTAATATTCTAGTATGGATTGAGGGTTGGTTAACTGTTGCCCTTGAGAAGGTAGGTAGTGAGCTGCCTTCTGTGCTGGAGGTAGACCCACAGAGCCCTTAGAGAGGCAACTCCAGGATTTTGAACCCTGGCAATAAAGAAGGAACAATGATATATTTCCAAGTTAGGATAGTGAATGGCTTGGAGGGGTATTTGCATGGGATGGTGTTCCCACATGTCTGCCGCCTTTGTCTTTCTAGATGGAAGTGGTTGTGGGTTTGGAGGGTGCTGTCTAAGGATCTTTGGTGAATTTCTGCAATGCATCTTGTAGATAGTAGCAACGATATATGTACTAACCATCAGTGTTGGATATTTGTGGATGCAGTGCCAATCAAGCGGGCCACTTTGTCCTGGATGGTGTCAAGCTTCTTGCGTGCTGTTGAAGCTGCACTCATCAGGCAAGTGGGAAGTAGTCCATCACACTTCTGACTTGTGGCTTGTGGATGGGCATGCTTTGGGGACTCAGGAAGTGAGTTAACAAGCCACAGTATTCCTAGCGTCTGACCTACTCTCGTAGCCACTATGTTTATTGGGTGAATCTAGTTGAGTTTCTGGTTAATGTTAGCCCCCAGGATAATGATTGTGGTGATGACACCATTGAATGTCAAGAGACAGTGGTTAGATTATCTCTTATTGGAGTGTCATTGCATGGTACTTGTGTGGCATGAATGTTTTTTGCCACTTGTCAGCCCAAGTCTGGATATTGTCCTGATCTTGCTGCATTTGAAAATATACTGCTTCAGAATTTGAGGAGTCGCAATTGGTGCTGAACATTGTGCAATCATTGGCAAACATCCCCACTACTGACCTTATGATGGAGGGAAGGACACTGATGAAGCAGCTGAAGATGGTTAAGCCTACAACATTACCCTGAAGAACCCCTGTTGAGATTACTGACCAACAACCACAATCAAACAACTGCACCTCCCAGTCGCGAACCATTTCAACTCCCCCTCCCATTCCTCAGACGACATGTCCATCCTGGGCCTCCTGCAGTGCCACAACGATGCCACCCGAAGGTTGCAGGAACAGCAACTCATATTCCGCTTGGGAACCCTGCAGCCCAATGGTATCAATGTGGATTTCACAAGTTTCAAAATCTCCCCTCCCCCACCGCATCCCAAAACCAGTCCAACTCGTCCCTGCCTCCCTAACCTGTTCTTCCTCCCACCTATCCCCCCCTCCCACCTCAAGCCGCACCTCCATCTCCTACCGACCAACCTCATCCGCCCCCTTGACCTGTCCGTCCTCCCTGGACTGACCTATCCCCTTCCTAACTCCCTACCTACACTCACCTTTCCTGGCCCCATCCCCGCCTCTTCGACCTGTTTGTTTCCTCTCCACCTATCCTCTCCTCTATCCCTCTTCTATCCGCCTCCCACTCTCTCCCTATTTATTTCAAAACCCCCTTCCCCTCCCCCTTTTCTGATGAAGGGTCTAGGCCCGAAACGTCAGCCTCTCTGCTCCTATGATGCTGCTTGGCCTGCTGTGTTCATCCAGCCCTGCACCTTGTTGTCTCATCTTCCTATATACCAGGTTTGATTCCAACCAGCAAAGGGTTTGCCCCCAAACACCAATTGATTCCAGTTTTGCTAGGTTTCCTTGATGCCACTTCGTGGTCAAGGCCTTGATATCAAGGGCTGTCACTCTCACCTCACCTCTGGAATTCAGCTCTTTTGTCCATGTTAAACCAAGGCTGTAATGAGGTCAAAAGCTGAGTGGCCCTGGTGGAACCCAGACTGGGCATCACTGAGCAGGTTATTGCTGAGCAGATGCTACTTGATAGCACTGTTGACGACACCTTCCTTCACTTTATTGATGATCGAGAGTAGACTGATGGGACAGTCTTGAAAAGATCACTTTAAAGGATTAAGAGATTTTACTGGAATGCGTTATTCATTTATCAGCAGAAGCATAGAGATATTCATGCATTTCATGGCATTTCAGAATGAATGTAAGGATCTGGATAATACTGGCCATTATTGCTCTATCCTTTCCTTGAATAATACAACTGAGTGATTTGCTGGACCACTTCACAATGCAGTTAAGAATCAACTATATCGGTATGGGGCTGGAGACATATAAGGAGGCTAGGATGCTAAGTCTCATTCCTTAAAGAATCTGACTGAAAGCAATTAGATTTCAATTTTAAACAATGTTTTGTTCCTTGGCTTTTATAAGTGAATTCAAATCGTGTTGGGATTTGAATTCTCATTCTTGAGACTGTTAATTCAGTAACCATACCATGTAAGAAAAAATGTACTCAAGTTTCATCACCTCGTAATAAGCCCAGTAACCAGGATCTCTTGTGTAGGTACCAGCTGGGCCTGGTCCAACCGTTGGGGCACCACCACTGTTATTGCTGGAACTCTTAAGCATGAAGGTTCGTCCATATGTTGGGAAGCCAATGATGATTTTTTCTGCCGGTAAGCCATTATCTCTCCAGTATTTGGCAGCAAATTCCTACAGCAGAAGCAATCAGAAGAATGAACTAATTGCATTTGGGCTTTCCTGAAACCTACTGTAGTTTGCTTCTGTGCAAATGATCACCTGTACAAGGGATTGTGTGCCATCTACAAAACATAGCATGTCTTTCACTGTCTAACGTAGATAGATCTTGGGAAAGTAGTGATACCATTACATTATAAGATGCTTGAATATATCAGCTTCACTGGTATCAGTTTGTGCTATCAATTTTTGGAGACATTTATTTAATATTAAATGGATAGATGAAGTATCCAGTGCACACCTTCTATCTATAATAGTTTAAAAAAAAAATCTCCAAGCTGTGTTTCTCAATATCAAAATAATGAAGATGCTTCCCCCATGTTATTGTCTGTGAAACCCACACATTGCAAAATGCTACAATAGAATCAATTTCTGCTGACTCTAAACCACTACCATGTTTGGTTTTGTATTTCTTCCCCTCCTGGGTAATTGAGGGCAGTTTATGGGACAACAGCAATTGCCTCACAGCAATGTGGTTGGAGAACCAGACCCTTTTTCTGGGTGATCTATCATTAGCAAATGTCAGCAGAAAGCATAATTCCTATTGGCAGCTTGCCCGCTGTGAGATAGGAATGAGCCATTTCTGTAAGATCCTGCAGAAATGCAGAGGAGAGAGGAAGAGGAATTGTGGCCAAACAGGAATTATACATTATGGATCTGAAGGAGGCAATGAGAGTTCTAATACATTCTTCAAGGTGTTTGTTTCAGCAGTTCTGTGGAAATGCTGATGCAGTAAGTTGGTGACATCTATGCCTTAGATGTCAAAGTGAGTTGGTGAACAAACTGATGGTGCACATCAGTGTGAGCAACATTTATACTGGGATCTGGATACAGTGCAGAAAGATGTTTAACGTCTGCAGGAATGCCACAGTAAGACACTCCTTCAAATCACTCACGTTTCTACAAAACCCTGAAGAAACCAACCTTCACCTTGCATAACACCAACTAAACTGTTTTTTTTTGTTCTTCATGGGATGAGGGTGTCGCTGACTTGTCCAGCATTTATTGCCCATCCCTAATTGCCAAGAGGGCAATTAAGAGTCAACCACATTGCTGTGTGTCTGGAGCTACATGGAGGCCAGACCAGGTAAGGATGGATGTTTCCTTCCCTCAAGGACACTGGTGAACCAGAAGGGATTTTCCCTGACAATCGACAATAGAATCATCGTCACCATTAGACTCTTAATCCCACATTTTTTTTATTGAATTCAAATTTCACCATCTGCCATGGTGGATTTGAGCCCAGGTCCTAGTCCCTGGATCTTAATAGAATACGGCCTTCCACAAAGCATTAGCTATGGATCAGTGCCAAGTGGAATGTGTTGCCTTTTCCAATGGTAACAATGCTTATGACTATCCAAACAAGTGCCTACCCTGGTGCTGGATGTCAAACTGGGCTGAATTGCGACACCACAGACCTAGAGAAGGATTGAGAATGGAGATGGGCAGCCTGGGAGTCTTGTGCCACTAGTTGGCATGCCAGTCTGCTGGTTTCATTCCATTCCTTGGCCCTTTTTCTGGAAATGAGATCGCAGATGGAGGTTGTCCATTTGTCATAAAGATAGTTGAAGACCCTGTATTTTCAGAGGCTGAAAGGCACTTAGCAGTATCCAGGGGTCACTGGCCAATTGCCTGGAGATGGCCTCCCTGCAGTAGATCAGGATAGGATCTCTCTAAACCTGGCTGTGGTTGCAGATCACTCTGTCAAATGGATACCCCTCTGCTATAGTGGCTCAGCTGCTGAGGGGACTTTTTCATTTAAAAATCATTTAGAGAAAGACCATCTCCACCTTGAGGCATTCTCTTTCTCTATTTTCAACAAACACAGGCTTCAGCTTTTTTTTCAGCACTAGATGACCTCCTGTCCTTGGCTCTTCAGTTTCAACTGCCCTTTTGCCTGCTATCCCTAAATACACATGGAGCCCATTCTCTAGCCACTAATTGGCTAAACTGAGGAAAAGCACTCTTGGGTGATGGTTTTCCAAACAGCGCAGGCTTCACCTTCATTTGACCCTGAAGTTAGGGTCCCAAAGACCATGAAGAAAATCCTGTTCCAAACTGAAATCTGCAGCTCAGCTTGCTCACTCCCAGTTTCGTACAGATTAATGACAGTGAGCATGTCAAGAGCCGTCAACTGAACCTCACACCTTTCTCCTCCCATGTTTCAACATTTGAGTGGAAATCTTTAGACTAGGTAGGAGTGCTAAGGGTAGGTTCAGGGGCAAGGGCTTTGGGTTGAGTAGGGAGTGTGGTTGGGTGTAGTGGGTAAGTGGTCTTGAACTGGGATTGGGACAGAGATGGAGGTGAGGTCCTGCCAGGAAAGGTGCTGGGTCTGGGGTGTCAGGTTGGGGACATTAAGTCCAGCAGATTCTGATCAAGTTCAAGTCAGAAGGTTGGGTGGAGTGTTGGTTTCAGCTGAGTCTGATTGAACCAGTGAGGTACTGGTTCCAGGAAGAGGCTTGGTGTTAGAGATCTGGGGTGTAGCTCTCGAGGCTGTCAGGTGGTGAGTCAGGAGGTCTGTTTAATAGAAACCCAGGAGTTACAGTAGGTTTTTAATTCCCTAAGTTCATCTGGGTAACTTTTAACCTTGGGTGAATTAGAATCTACTGAATTCTCCAACTTTATTAACTTTCTCAGAGAGTTCCAGATGCGGCTAAAATGGAAAATTCAACTTTCTGGGCAATGGAGGTTCTGCAAAGAGCCAGCATGCAACTCCAATGTGAACATGGAAGGAAGTGTATACCTGTGCTTTCTTTTTTTTTTAAATTTTCTAATCAACCTGTTCATGGATGTTACTACACATCTTTACAGGTGGGACTTGAACACAGGCCTCAGGCTCAGAAGTAGGGACACTGCCACTGTAACACAAGAACCCCCTATAAAGTGGGTACATCAGGTTATTTCAAAGCCAGTTTGAGCATGAGGTTCTTCTAAGATTCAAACTCAGAATTTTCTGTCTACAAGGCAGGCACTTGAACCCATTAGGCCACAGCACCATTTGGTTGTATCTGTGTTAGCTCTTCAAAAAAGCTGAGCAATTAGTCCCTTCTCGTCTCTTTCTTTATGACCCTGTAACTTTATAGAATGATGTCTAAGAATTGTGATTAGCAAGGTGTACAAGATCTAGCCCTTGTTGCCAGCCTGTTAAGCTTTCACTAGCTATGAGGAAAATATTTGACTGACATTTGAAAAGCAACTACAGTTTGAGGTGTTGTTGATGATAGCATGCTAGTTCAACACCTTTTAGGTAGATTTATCAATTTATAAACCTGTTTGCACCATTTCAAAGGGGTCTGTAGGGAGATGTGTGTATAGCCAGCAACACCCTGGCCCTAGGGAATTCTACAATCTGCACAAACCCAAGGCAATTCAGATTACCAATTGCTTGTCCATAAGTTCATCTGCTATTGAGCCAAAAGAAATTTCTCAGCCTGTCTGTACCCGAATAAACAGTATGTCACTCTGTTAATTGGTCAACAATGAAGTAACAAAGTGTCAAGAAATGTTTCTTTGGAACAATACATCTCAAGTCAACATTGTGTGCCCAGGCTATAATGTATATTTCTGTAGTTTGAAGTCCGCTATCATAAATCAATTCTGACAAACCAATGGATAATCTAACAGGCAAAATTTAATGTTTGACCATAATTCATCATTCACTGGTTCTTTGATTTGTTTATTTTTTTTTGTCAGAGTTCAAGAAGACACATTTTTTCCAAACGTTTTAAAGAAGCCAATGTTCCAGCAATTGTAAGTTAATTATGTCTGTTACCATTTTTGATACAAGCACAATGTGAGTTTAAGATTTGTATACGTACCATGTTGAAAAACGTAGATTCACGCTGCTCTGGAATGGCATGAAACAAGGGATTGTTACGTCCAGTGAATGAATTCCAGGCACCATGGAAATCATATGTCATCACGTGGATTGAATCCAAGTACCTGGAGAAATGAAAATGCAATAAATGCAGAAATTATGAATAATCAATGACAAATTGGAAATTTTTGGACTATACATATTGAATTTGATTACAATACATCCTCAATTATTCCCCTTACAATTCTAGAACTAGTTCATTTTCTTTTAAAATACAGTCAAGATCCCCAAAGCAATGAAAGTTATTTGAAGATGCTATTAATAGTTAGTAGAAGGGATATGCACCACTTATGATAACAGAATGTAAATAGGCCCAAGAAATTCTTAATGAGAAAGAGCCACCATAATACAGTAAGTCTCCAATTTCTCTACTGAACATAAGCAAGATGTTCTCCAGAATCTTCCCTATATACCATGTAATTGTATTACATTACAATAATGACCATAACCCAAAAAGTCACAATTAGCTAAAAAGCCAGTGGGGAAGTCCTCAAGTCCATTAATGTGCTTTAAGATTATAAATCTCTAGTGTATTAATAAAACTCTAGCTTGTCATCTCTGACTTACTGTTTGATTGATGTGTTCCTCTCTTCATCATTTCAACCTTGGTTATCATAGAATCCCTACTGTTTTGTGGAAGCAGGCCATTTCACTCATTGAGTCTAAACTACTCCTCCAAAGAGCATCCCAAACAGCCCCCCTTTCTATTCCTGTAACCCTGCATTTACCACCGCTAATCCACCTAGCCTGCACATCCCTGGGCAATTTAGTATGGCAAACCCACCTAACCTGCACATGTTTGGACTATGGGAGGAAATTGGAGCACTCAGAGGAAACCCAAGCTGACACGGGTAGAATGTGCAAATTTCACACAGACAGTCACCTGAGGCTGGAATCAAACCTGGGCCCTGACACTGTGAGGCAGCAGTGCTAACCACTGAGGTACCATGCCACCTAGTTGGTTATATCCAACCTGTTGACAATGTCTCTTTCCCAATTTTTCTCAATGAAATAACAGTTTTGCCCAAACTAGATTTAATCTCAACCATCCAGAGGCTAAACTAGGATTTCATGAGTACATTGCCATTAAGTTGGTCCAAGCTGTCCAACAACAGTTTCATGTGAATCCAACTGTAAAAATTGCAGCAGAAATTTCTGTACTGAAATAATTAATACTTACTGACCAACTTTCTTCACCTCAAAACCAGCATCAATTTTAGCCTTACTAGCAGGCAATGCAGCTGCTAGTAATAGTCTGGGTTTTTTACTGCGTTTAGATTCACTTTGTAAGGTTTGTCTCAATTCCTGGAAGGAAGATCAAATATTGGCATGGAATAATAGTGTACTATAACTGTCAATGCAAACAGGCTATAACAGAGTCACTTACAGTTATGTGGGGTTATAAATATAAATATAAATATAAAAATATTCACAGACTCTGCTTCTGTCACCTTTTAAGGGAGAGAGTTTCAAAGATTTATGGACGTCTGAGAAAAAGATTTCTCTTTAAAATGGCAATCCATTATTTTTAAACAGTGACCGCTGGTTCTAGAGTTCCCCACAAGAGGAAATGTCTTTTTCACATCCATCCAAGTGTGGCCCTTTTAGGATCTTCTACGCTTAGATCAGTCACCTCTTATTTTTTAAATGCCAATTACAAAAGCTCAGCCTCTCAAAGTTTTCCACATAAGAGGACATGACCATTCCCAGTATTAGTCTAATGAACCTACTCTGAGGGTTTATTATTAGATCAGTACCTTTGCCTTGTGCTGTGATTTCTTTAACGCTGTAAAGTCATTTTGATGTTGTGTGCACTTGACATGATGTAAGGCCCACTTATACTACACCATTTTTGATACTTCTGTGTATTTCGTTTGGACTGTAATGGTAGACCTTTCTTTATCTTTAACCCCACACCCTGACACCCCCACAACACCCCCTCCCACACACATACACCCCCCACCCCCCCCAACTCGGTATATACGTGAATGATGTCTTCATGCCTGCCTGAGATACAGAAATTATACCCATGTCTGACATGCATTTGGAAACACAGTTTGTTGAAAGTAGGATATGACAACATGGAAGTGGTCCTGTATATAAACATACAAAGTAGGAGCAGAAGTAGGTCACCGGTTCTTTGAGCCTGCTCTGCCATTCAGTAAGTTAATGGCTGATCTGATTACTCCACATTCTCGCCTACCAGGATAACCTTTCGCCCTGTGTTTATCAAGAGTCTATCTCTGTTTTAAAAATATTCAAAGGTTTTGCTTCCACTGCCTTTTGAGGAAGAGAGTTTCAAAGACTCCTGACTCTCTGTCTTTAAACTCTGTCTTTAATGGGTGACCTCTTGTTTTGAAACAGTGACCAGTTCTAGACTTAAGGTGAGATTGTAACTCAGTTGGATGACCTGATTTAAGGCATTGTGTTATGTGCTCGGGGACCAGGGTTTGAAAGGAACATAAAGCCACAGCCCTCAAGGACATAGCTGCTGCACAAAGGAATTGGTTGGCCATAGGAAGACATGTGGAGAATTCATCAGCAAACTGGTGATGAGCTCTTGAATATGGGATTTCATCGAGCAACAGGTGTTGTGCTTATACACCAGGGGAGTTAAAATGTTACACATAAAATGGAAAGTGTTTACACGGTTTGTTCCATGATATTAATATCTAATTTACAGGGTCAAGATCTTACAGGGTCATATAGTCGTAGAGATCTACAGCATAGAAAAAGGCCCTTTGGCCCATTAGGCCTACACCGGTCAGAAACAACTACCTAACTATTCTAATCCCATTTTCCAGCACTTGGCCCATAGCCTTTAACATCTTGGCATAACAAGTGCACATCTAAATACTTCTTAAATGTTATGAGGGTATCTGCCTCTATTACCCTCTCAGGCAGTGATTTCCAAATTCCCACTACCCTCAGGTAAAAAAATGTGTATCCTCACATCTCCACTTCACCTTCTGCTCTTTACCTTAAATCGATGCTCCCTGGTCAATGATCCCTCCATCAAAGGGAAAAGTTTCTTCATGTCTACCCTATCTATGCCCCTCATAATTTTATACATTTCAATTGGCTCTACTTCAAGAAAAACAACTCCAGTCTATCCAATTTCTTGCTTCATAATGAAACTCTCTAGCCCAGGCAACATCCTGGTAAGTCTCCTCTGCACCCTGTCCAGTGCAATCACATTCCTCCTATAATGTGGATTCCAGAACTGCACATAATACTCTAGCTGTGACCTAAATCAATATTTTTTATGGTTTCAGCATAACCTCCCTACTCTTCAACTCTATCCCTTAACTAATAAAGACAAGTATACCATATACCTTCTTAACCACTTTACCCACTTGTCCTGATACCTTATTGGTGCTTCCCAGGGTCCTACCATTTATCATGTATTCCCTTTCTTTGTTTGTCCTGTCCTAGTGTATCACCGCACATTTATCTGGATTGAAGGGTAGTGAGACATCCCACCAATCGGATCTTACAAGCGGAAGAGATATGAATTACAGCCATTTCCAACGTTCTATTTAGTTGGCATTTTGCATGGGATGTGAGGTAGGATGCTAACTCCACATTGGGAGCTTCTATGTAATTCAAAAACTGATTGTAATCACGATTGATTTGGTAATTGAGGAGAATCTGTTACTTGCAAATTTGATAAATAAAATCTGTGTGGAGGAACTTTGATGAATGACATGGCTCCTGAACACTTCCACAAACTGCTTCAAATTATGATGATATTTAAACTAATTTGGACCAGTAGCTAAACCTTCTATAATTGTAAAAGACTCCATAGATGGATAAATCATATGTAATACATTCTAGAACTAAAACCACCAAGAATGATTTATATTCAGTGTCCTTTAAATGTGACGTGAGATGCCTATATAGTGTGTGGCACTAAAGCTTGTCAACTGTTTGCTGAGATCGTATAACCCAGACTTTACATAACATGCCATACAATGCCTCCCTTTGAAAGACTGCATTTTTTAATAGCTGCTGCATTTGTGGTTCTGTGCTGAAAAAGTATTCAATGAGAGTTTGTGGCATAATAGTCACAGTATCACCATGCAGAATGATATGCTGTTGATTTGAATCCCTTTGAATAAAGTTCAAAACACCTGTAAATAAAAACGAATTCAAATAGATCTATGTTTGGGATCTAATAATGGGATGTGAGTGTCGCTGGTTTAGTTATCATTTATTTCTTGTTCCTTATTGACCGTGAGAAGGTGGTGGTGAGCTCCATTTCAGGATCTTGGCCCATTGACAGTAAGGGACTGGCAATGTAATTCAAAGTAAAGGTGGTGAGAAGCATGGAGGGGAGATTGCAGGTGGTGATGTTTCCTATGCAGTGCTGCCATTGTCCTTCTAGCTGTTAGAGGTTACGGGTTGTTCTCATGCATCTTGTGTGTGGTAACACAATCTCAGAAGTATAGAATCCCTATAGTGCAGATAGAGGCCATTTGACCCATCGAGTCTCCACTGACCCCCCAAAGAGCATCCCATCCACACCCACCCTGCATTTCCCATGGCTAATCCATCTAGCCTGCACATCCCTATACACTGAGGCAATTTAGCACAGCCAATCTACATAGCCTGCACATATTTGGACTTTGGGAGGAAACCAGAGCCCCACTGCCAATATGCATCAGTAGTGGAGACAGTGAATGTTGAAGATAGTGGATGGGATGCCAGTCAAGTGGACTGTTTGTCCTGAACGGTGTCAGGTTTTAAGTCTTCAGGACCTGAGCTATTCACCATTGAGCTCCCAACTTCTTAGCTGCTCTTGTAGCCACTGTATTTATATAGTTAGTCCAGTTCACCTTCTGGGCAAAGATAACCCCTAGGACGTTGAAAGTAGGGTGTTCAGTGATGGTAATATCGCTGAATGTCAAGAGGTGAGCTCCAATTTGCTCTTGTTGGATATAGTCATTGCTGGCATTTGTGTGGCACAAATGTTACTTGACACTTATCATCCCAAGCCTGAATATTGTCTAAGTCTTGCTGCATTTGTACATGGGCTGCTTAAGTATGTGAGGAGTCATGGATGGTGCTGAACGTGGTGCAGTTCTGATCTAATGATGAACAGAAAGTCATTGATGAAACAGCTAAAGATGTTTGGGCCTAGGACACTACTGTAAGGAACTCTTGCACAGATGTCTTGGGCCAGAGATGTTTGACCTCCAACAACCACAAGTATCTTCCTTTGTGCTAGGTATGACTTCAACCAGCAGAAAATTTGCTCCCGATTCTTGTTGACTCCAGTTTTTCTAGGGGTCCTTGATATTTTATGTGGTTAAACACCATCTTGATATACAGGGCAGTCATCTTAACTTTCCATTGAGTTCAGTTCTTTTGTCCATATTTGATTAAAGGGGTCAGCGGCTGAGTGGCTCTGGCACAATCTAAACTGGGCCTCAATGAGCAGGTTACTGTTTAGAAAGTGCAGTTTGACAACACTGTTGTCAACACCTTGCATCACTTTGCTAATGATCTGAGCAAAGACTGCTGGGCTGGTAATTGGACAAGTTTGATTTGTTATGTTTTTGTGTACAGGATATACCTGGGCAATTTTCCACATTGCCAGGTAGATACCAGTTTTGTAACTGTACTGGAACAGCTTGGCTCAGGTCAGAGCACAGGTCTTTAGTGCCATTGTCAGAATATTGTTAGGGCCTATAGTCTTGCCTAAGATCATATGCAGTAAATTGAATCAGCTAACAGCTGACACCACAGGCAGAAGCTGAAATGAATCGTCAACTCAGCACTTCTGGCAGAGGATGGTTGCAAATGTTTTAGCCGTGTCTTTTAACTGCTGTGCTGGAAGGCCCTATCTTTGAGAATGGAGATATTTGTACTGCCTCGTCCTCCACAGAATCACCGAAGCATTATAGTGCAGAAGGAAACCATTTGGCCCATTGTGCTAGCACCTGCTCAATAAACAAGCATCGTTACCTAGTGCCCAATCTCCTGCTCTTCCCCCATACCCTTGCACATTGTTTTTATCCAAATAATCATCCAATGTCCTCTTGAATTCCTCAACACCACTGTTCCAGGCTGTGCATTCCACACCCTAACTACTCACTGACTGGAAAAGCTTCCTCACTTCACCCTTGCTTCATTTGAAGATCACTTCAAATCCATGCTTCCTTTTTCTAGTTCCTTTTATGAGCAAGAACAGTTTCTCCTTATCCACTCTATCCAGCCCACTCTTGATTTTTTGAAAGCCTCTATCAGATCTCCTTTTGGCATTCTTCACTTCAAGGAGAACAGTTTCAAGTTTTTCAGTCTTTCCTCCCAACTGAAGTTTTGCATTCCTGGAAGTATTTTTGTAAACCACACTTCTGCACGCTCTCCAACGCATTCACATTCTTCTTATAATGTGGCACCCAGAATTGTATACAATACTCCATTTGATGTCCAACTAGTGTCCTATAGAAGTTCAACATCACCTCCTTGCTCAGGTACGCTATGCCCCTATTAATAAAGCTGAACATACTGTATATTTTGCTTACTGCTCTCTTTACTTGTCCTCCAGTGAACTATTTAATTATCCACCACCATTGTGCAGGTCTGCACAGCTCAAATTGGATCTTTTGGTTGTTGGATTGCTTTGTTTATATTCCAATACATGCTGTTTACACCACTCGGTGTGGAAGTAGTTCTGTGTGGTAACTTCACCAGGTTGGAACCTGATTCGCAGGCTTGTCTGGTGATGCTCCTGACATGCCCTCATGCACTCCTTATTGAACCAAGGTTAATCCCGTGGTTTGGTGATAATGATAGAGTAGGGGAAATGCTAGGTCATGAGGTTAAAATTGTGTTTGAATGTAATTCTCCTACTGCTGATGGTTCACTTTGCCTTGTTTTAGATCAGTTGAAATCTATCCCATTTAGCATGGCAATAGTACAATACAAAACGACGGACAGTATCCTCAATATGAAGGCAGGACATTATCTCCACATCTATGGTCACTCATACTAATGCTGTCATGGACGTACACATCTGCTACCGGTAGATTGGTGAGGATGAGATCAAATATGTTTTTCGCTCTTGTTGGTTCCTCTCCATATGTCATAGGCCCAGTCTAGCAGCTATGTCTATTGCGACTCAGCCTGTTTGTCAGTAGTGATACTGCAAAGCAACTCCAGGTAATAAACACTGAAGTTCCCCACCCAGTGTACATTATGTGCTTTTGCCAAACTCAGTGCATCCTCCAGGTGATGTTCAACATGGGGGAGTACTGATTCATCAGCTGAGCGGTGGCAGTAGTTGGTAATCAGCAGGAGGTTTCCTTGCCTATATTTGACCTGATGTCATGAGACATCATGGAGTCCACAGTCAATGCTGAGCACTACCATGGCAATTCCCTCCTGACTGTATATAGTTACATCACCACTTTTGGTCTGTTCTACCCAGAGGTGGTGATGGTGCTGACTGGGGAGCTGTCCGTGAGGTATGACTCAATGAGAATGACTGTTGGGCTGTAGCTTGACCAGTCTCTGGGACAGCTCTCCCCATTTTGGCACAAGCTTTGAAATGTTTACAAGGAGAACTTTGCAGGGTTGACAGCACTGTGTGCCTGTGTTACTTCTGGTGTCTTGGTTGATGGTCCATCATTGGATGGGTGATGGTTTAGTTTCATTCCTTTTATGAAACTTTGTCAAGGGTAAGTGTGATTAAGTGGCTTGCTAGACCATTGCAGAGGCCACTTAAGAGTCAACCACATCACTGTGGATCTGGAGCCACATGTAGTGCACACCAAATGTGTTTGTAAATTTTCTTTCTTGAAGGATATTAGTGAAATAGAGAGGTTTTTTTTGGCAATAGTATCGCGGTTCCCATTAGACCAACATTTAATCAACATTTATTAACTGAATTCAAATTTCATGGTGGATTTAACACCTATCCCCAGAACATAACTCTGTCTCCCTGGATTACTAATCCAATGATAAAAGCACCATACCATCATGTCTCCCTATTGTTCTGAATGCAGACACTCAGTTTGATTAGTGACATAGTGTTTAGTTAGTTGATCTTAACATGGGAAGCCATGTAGGTACTAGAACTGGCTTCATGGGAAACAGAACTGAAAAAAGTAGCTAAGGTTCCTACTCCTGATCAATTTGCAACAACATTATTTAAATACGTGCATGTTATGTAAATATACATATATTTGTGCATATTACGATTCTTGAAGAGTATGGAATGATGTTGTGTTGTAATATTCTATGTGGTGGATACCCCTGCTGTCATTGATTGACTGGACTTCTAAAATGAAGCTTGGTTTTGGAAGGTGATGACAAGCACTGGTCTTATGGAATCCTGCAAAGTTTTGCGTCTTGAGAAAATAAAAAGCAAAATATGAATCTTTTTGCTACTCACCTTAAGCAAAACGGTATATCTTTTCTTGTTGTCAAATGGGCTTCCCCTTGACCCTGGGTGGTCCCACACTAAGTCTAACCCATCAAAATCATACTTCCTAACAAATTTGATTGCAGAGAAGATGAATGCTGCACGAGTTTTCTTAGAAGCAACTGTAGTGCTGAACCTGAAAGGAGGGAGAGAATGAATGAAATACTTTCATTTTGTTTTATCATTTATTAAAAACAGTTTTTGTTAATATTCATAACAACATGATCTTAAATCAAAACTGCATGTGTGTAAAACATTGAAACTCCTTCAAAATTCCATTTCATATTTCACATGGTAACATCTAGTTTGAGGCATTTAATGTTTTTATTTGAAAGAGAATATATAAACCTGTTAAGCAGTTTTAAACAAAATATAAGTGAGCGTTGTTTGTAAAATAATCTACCACAATCTCAGGACCCTCGTGGTACAACAATCATTTTTTGATCCAACGCTGGGGGAGTCCACCTCAGAAAAGATTCTGAGGTAGGTCTTTAAATCAATGAGGAGTCATCAGATATTTATACATTGTAAGTCACATAATTACATTGTAATTACTCAAATTCTGAAATGGTTTGGTTTAGACAAACACATTTAATTTTTCTCATGTTCCAGAAATGACAGGGTGACTGCTACCCCTGATCCCACCACTCCCTGTCTTCCCAGGTGCCATCCTATCTCCTCTCCAAAGCCCGTGCTTCGTTCCCATCTTTGACTAAACTCCGTTGCTTTGTCTTTCTTAGCGTGGTGCGGGGTCATCCTCACATTCCATTTTCTAAATAGGACTCAGGGTTTACGTTGCGAAGTTCTGTCTATTATGTCAGTATCCGAAGTGAACCTGCTTGTGTGAGATTATTTTTCTTTTAGGTCTGACTACTTTTGTTTTAATAAGAATAAATGAAAAATGAATCCGAAATGATTGGATGAAAATAAAAGTTGCTGGAAAAGCTCGGCAGATCTGGCAGCATCGGTGAAGAAAAATCAGCGTTAATGTTTTGGGTCCAGTGACTCTTCCTCAGAACATGATTGTTTCTTACGAAGTTAACTGAAACGCTCTACCTCATTTTAATCTCAGTTTGAGATTGATGTGGGATTAACCGATGCTAACTCATGTCATACCCAAAATTGTCCAATTACACTTATAGTATCCATATATCAATATGTAGAGGCCCATAAGAGCAGAAGTAGGCCTGCAGTCAATCGAGTCTGCTCCGTCAGTCAATGAGATCATGGTTGATCTGATAATCCTCATCTCTACTTTCCTGCCTTTTCCCAAATGTTGGCAGCTCACTCAAATAATTCGATGAGATCCAAGGCCCAATTTTAGACTAGCCTTCATGGCCTCCTGTTACGGTGTTTGCTCATTGTTTGGCACCCATTTGAAGCCTGAAAAAGAGAGAGAGGGGATTTCCACCCTCTAAATCTAGAAAAATTACTGCAGTTCATTGACTGCTGACCACTTTCTGAATAATGTAAAACTATTGCACCTGCCAATTACAAGAATAAAATAGCACTCCAATTGCCTCTCCTATGAGCTATATTCTTGAAGATAGATACTCTGAAATGGGTAAGGTGGAAATGTTGTATCTTTAGTTATTTTGAAGGTTGGTCTAGAAATTTGTAGAAATTTACAGATAGGGATTGCAGTACTTGGTATTAAATATAAGACGATCACAAACGGGAATTTCATGAGACAACTCTTGACCGACAGGGGAGTAAAACTGTGGAACTCACTGCCACAAGAAATAGTTGAGGTGATTATATATTTGTAGGGAAGCTAGATAAGCAGTTGATGGAGAAAGGAATAGAACAACATGGCAATAGAGTTAATGCAAAAAAGTAGGAGGAGTAGTATGTGGTAGACAAACACTGGCATTGACCAGTTGGGCTGAATGGCCTGTTTCTGTGCTAGAAATTCGATGTTGAGCATATGGAAATGTTTAGTGGTTGATAAATTTCCATAATGGATAGCATCAGAATTTTATATCTATATAATTTAAAATAATTTGTTCTTGGAATGTGAACAGTGCCAACGGGCCACCGAATTTTGTTAAATCTGAATTATTTTTGAACTTCAGTAGCTGTTGAATTAAAGTGCCTCATAATCTCAAAATTCCAGGATCTTAATCCAGTGACAATAAATGAATGGTGATAAATTTACCATCAGGTTGGCATGGCACTTGGATATGATAGTGTTCCAATGACATTGCTGCTTTTGTCTTTCCTAGTGGTAAACACCAATAAGAAAGGAAAGAGCTGTTCTAGGAAGTTGTACTGCTGAATACCTTGGACTTATCTTTGAATTAAAGTTGGCTAACCTGATGGTAGAGGGAAGGGTATTGATTAAACAGGTGAAGATGTAGTTTCCCTGAGAAACTCCTATAGCAATGCTCTTGAGTTGCAATGGTAGGACTCTGTCAATCATCATTACCTTGCCTTGCAGCAGATAGGACTTTTACTGTTTGAGATGTTTCCTTCTGATCCTCTTTATTTCACTTATGCTAGAATTCTTTGGTGTCATTCTAAGTCAAATGTTGCCTTTGTCAGAGGTAGATATTCTCACCTCTAATCTAAGGTTTAGCTGTTTCAAAGTGGTTACTAGGTCTAGGGCTGTGTATTTCTGGCTGAACCTGAACTAAGCATCACTGAACAAGCCATTGGAGAGCAAATATCACTAATGATAGAAATTGGTCAGATATGATTTATCCTGTTTTTCATAGACAGGATGTTTCTACAGCTCCTCTCACATTTTGAGTGGATGCCAGCAGGGCTACTCAGATTGGGGTTCAGGTCTTCATTTGAGTTGTAGAAAGATTTCATGGCTATTACCATGTCCAAAGTACTCAGCTGCTTATTAAACATCACAAGGATGTAGGCAGACATTCACATGCATCATGTTTGGGACCTTAGGCTGAGGCAGATTAGTATATTCACTGAACATTTCTAGTTGAAAATACCACAAAGCACTTCAGACTCATTTCTTTTTCTCAATTTCTGGGCCCCACCAGATTGAGGATGTGGAAGTTTATAGGGTCTTCTCTCATTTATTTTTTGACTGTCTGTGACCATTCTAACTTGGATGTGGTCAGGCTTAGGAGAATCTACAGATTGGGGAACAGCTTAGCTCTGTGTGTAGCCTGCTGCTTTAGGCAAATTTATTATTACGACTTGACTGGTTGGTAACTCTAAAGTCAGCCTGGTGCCTCTCACTGCATATCATTCTACACTTTGCAATGAAGCAGCTCTCAGTTTAATGCTGGTTGAAGAGTGAGGGATGCATTAGGTCACAAGGTTATTAATTGTGGTAGTAAATAATTCTATAGTTTTACATATATTACTTGTATTTAAAGAGCCAGGTATTCTCCTAGCAATTGTAACTTTGGTGGAAAGCCTGAGAAAATGCTGGTGCATATACCCAAGGTACATAGGAATGTCTACTCCCTTTTTGGCTAACCAATAACTAACCAGCTCAGGGTTTAATAAAACCCATACTGTCAATTTCCAGCCTGTAAGGTATCCTAGTTACATATACTTAGAGTTAGAATTTAATTTCATCTGATTTGATCAAGGATCTTGCTTCTGCTTTGTTTGTATCACTATCACAGACTAACATTCATATTCTGTCAACATTGTTTAATTACAAATGTGGTTAATAATGTGAGTCAGGATTGAAAAGACTGTTGGAGGTTATACCTCTGTCCAGAGGAAAATGCTTATTGCTTAGAAACATTTATGGATTCATAAACAACAAAAACAGAAACTGCTGGAAAAGCTCAGCAGGTCTAGCAGCATCTGTGAAGAGAAATCAGAGTTAATGTCTTGGGTCTGGTAACCTTCCTCAGAACTGATGGTGGCTAGGAAAGCATTGGTGTTTATGCAGAAGATAGGGTGAGGGGAAGGGTAAGGAGTAAACAATAGGAAATTGGGAATAGAGCCCAAAGAGAGAGAAGTACAGTTGGACAGACAAAGGAATGGATAATGATCTGGTTAGCAGGGTGAATAGCTGTAAATGGCAACTGTTAGTGGCTAACAATGGGTTGTGTGTAATAGCAGACTATGTAATCACAAGGCCTGGTGTGTGGGGGTGGGGTCTAGAGCTCAAGCCTTAAAGTTATTGAACTCTATATTGAGCCCAGGAGGCTGCAGGGTCCCCAAGCGGAAAATGAGGTGTTGTCCTTCCAGCTTATGATGAGCTTCACTGGGGCACAGCAGCAAGCCTGAGACAGAGATACTGGCCAGGGAACAGGGTGGTTTGTTGAAGTGTGATACCTGGAGCTGTACAGCATGGAAAAAGACCCTTTGGTCCACTAGTCCATGCTGACCAGATATCCTAAATTAATCTAGTCCCATTTGCCAGCATTTGGCCCATATTCTTCTAAACCCTTCCTAGTAATGTTGGTTAAATACAACAAAAGGATTGAATTTTAAACCAGAAATTTGGCTGTCAGATTCCAACATTCTTTCAAGTTAAGTACATTATTTTTTTGAGGATTGTCTCATTTTGGCTTGTATTTTTACTACTTTTTTCATGGAAAGAACTTAGGAAGTCTCCTTTAATGGATGATTGAAAGCAAAGATAGTCCCAAGTCTTTTTTGAATTGATTAAATTAATGCACTAATAATCATTAACATACTAACAATTGTTTTTGCCATGATTCAAACAATTTGATTTAAGGTCTTGATCTTTTTTGACTTCGAATATTGACAGTTGAAACAGAGTTTTGTTTTACATAGACAGGTAGTCAGGATGTTGATACTGGATGCTGTAAGGCACAGAGAGAGAGAGGCCAAGTGAAGGTTAAAATTGAGGAATAATAGTTGCTTAAGTGGTGGATCACAGCACATTTATTATTTTGTACCATTGCACAATGACAAATATTGATCAAAATAAGAAGCTCTTCATTACTCTTGCTCTGTTTGTTTAGAGAGTGTGAAATAAAGCAGCTTAGTGATTCATAAGGCTCAACTCAAGTCTTTACTCCGTCTATGTTTGCAGAATGTATGAAGCAAAGGCATGAAAAAGTGGTGCAAATATGGTGCAAGTGAGCACAATTGTTACATCTCTGGGTAAGAAACTCAGATGGTCTACAGGGGCCATTGACATAACTGAACCTAAGAATGCATCTATATCAGGACTGATTTTGTTGAGGGTACTTTTCCTTTATAACAAAGCAACCAAAGTGGAGAATAGCATTTTGTATTTAATCTAAATATGAAGCTCTAATTCCACAACCTTCTGCTACAAAGCTTGGAATTTTAAGAGTTCCTAATGAACTAGACTTCCTCATACCAACAATATGAGTTATTTGCTCTTCAAGACTGAATGTCAAAACAAACATTACTTGACTCCATGGGGAAAACGTATATATTTACACACAGTTCATTACCTGTTAATATCTGTAATAGACATTACCTTTGTGGATTAAATCCTCCAACAGCCAAGAGTGTCTTCAAGGTAGGATTCCTGATAGAAAAAGCAAAACAATGTCTCATTTTAATGACAAACCTATTACTGAATATCACAATTTTGGAAGCACATGCCTTCAGTGAATGAGAGACATTTCTGAACTTTCTGTGGGATACGGCCTACCCTTTGTGGGTAATATATTCTTAGTTCCCTACTTAACTCTGTAACAGAAAGCATATTCGCTCTGAATCATTGATTCACAATGAATTATTTGTGTGCGTCATATTTCACTGTTACGCAAACTACCAAACAGACATTGCACCTTATATATTTTACTGCAACATATTTATGGTACTTGGGAACAGGAGTAGGCCTTTGAGTCCCTTGAGCCTGTTCCACCATTCAGTGAGATCATGATTGATCTATGGCCCAACTCCATATACCTGCCTTTGGTCCATATCCCTTAATACCTTTGCGTAACAGAAAATTTTTAGATGTGCCATCTAATTTTTTACTCTCCTTTTCTTGTACTTTTTAAAAAGAAATGTACCATGCTTTTCACAATTTCAAGTGGATGAATGATAGACAACAGTTGAAAATAAAACAACATCACCAAAATAATACATAACAAGAACTAGGATTGTATGATGACTTTATTTGAGCACAAAAATATTCCAAGGGGTATCATTGAGGAAGAATGGAATGGAATCTAAGCATCAGTGGAACTACTGGCAAAAATGTCTAAAAACAAAGTGTTGATAGGGCTCTGAAAGATTGAGGGTTTTGGATGCGGGATGCAGACTGTTTTAGGGAAGGAGTTCCATTGAGTAAGATTGAGGAGGCTGAAGATTCTGCCATCATTAGTGCAGGTGAAGCCTGCCAGAACTGAAGGAGCAGATGGAGGCATGGCTGTTTTGAATCTGACATGGGTCAAAGCTTAGAGAAATTTGAAGATGATGGTACAGATTGATACTTTGACATCTTGCGAGTGTCATTGGAGGTCAAAACTCAAATTGACATGAGCTTCATCAGTGATTTTGTTAATTGAATCATTTCGTCCTCCTGCATTTATTGAGGTTGAGCACCTTACACAAGTAGCACTTTATTTACCCTACTCTGGTACACTGAAGACAAACATGAAAATCAAGTACCTGCACTGTCAGTCTCTTTCTGTGATATTTCCTGCCATGACTGTCGCTAGGCATTTTTCAACACTTTGGTCTATTGATAAACAGATCATTAATACGTTTATTATTTTCAGTTTTTGGGAAAATCTATTTTCTAGGTGAAGCTCATAAGAAATATTTTATGCACTGAAACTTTAACTGGGATGCACTACCAGCCTAATGCATTCATTCATTTGAATAAAGACATAAGGATTTTCCACAACAGGTTCCGCTAATAACCTACCCAACTCTGATGGGAATCCAATGGAATACCATGGACAATGCTAGAGATCATGTTGATCTAGTTTTCCACTGTTCTGGAAAATTCAAACTGGTCTTGTCAAACCCTGAACTCCTCCCCACATCTTAGAATAGCAAAAGTCAACAGGTTGTGTGGGTGATGCCAATTTCTGCTTAAGAGGTTCATTAGAAATGTAGCCTTTCCCCAGAAGCCAATACACCAAATAGGCTGAGACATTTCTGACTCCAGGTGCCTGAAACTAGACCCGGTCAGAAATCACACGACACCAAGTTACAGTAAAACAGGTTTATTTGAAAACACAAGCTTTCGGAGCCTTACTCCTTCAGGTGTTAGTGAGAGCGGTAGTATCAGACACACAGTAAAAGATCAAAGGGTCACAACACTGATGATGATGTACTAAACAAAACTAAGATGCTGTTAAATCATTAATCAGTTCGAAGGTTTAAATTGATTCATATGTATATGTAAATCTCTGAATCCCTTTCAAGTCACTGTCCTGAGAGAAGTCAGTTTCATCAGTATAAAAAAGATCAGAGAATGCATGTTGGGTGTGAGGTCTTGTTTAGAATCTGTTTGTATTTTGGTTTGGAGTCAGGTTGGTTTTATTTCTAAAGTAGGAATTTATAAAACACCACATTGACTGATTGTTTATAAATTGTGTGCTTTTTGAACAAAATAGAATGTATCTGCAAATACAAATTCACCCCATTGGTTCACGTGTGTGTGTATGGGAGGGAGGGAGAGAGAGACCCGACAGTGGAATCTAGGTTCAAGGTTCCTATTAGAATGGGAGCTTAAAAAGAAAATATTCTTCTTTTTGGTTCTTTTACAATAGGAGGGTGAAAAAGTCATGACCGAGGGGTAAGAATGAGTCTGAGAGAACCCCTCTACTCTGTGACTGACGTTGCTGAATGTCTCAAACACCTGGGATAGGTCAATGCTAGGGGTCACCATTAGTATTATTTCTTTCTCACTCTATGTAAGTTTAGGTGTCCTCCCACTAATCCTGCATGCTCTAATGGTCACCACTGAATCAGGCCTAATATGGGCATAGTCATCTTGAAAATGTATACCTTATTATCAATCTTGTATAATTTATTTGACAGATTAGTCTTTCACACGATCTGGGGATTTCTGGCTAGACAAGCATTCATTATTCATCCCTAATTGCCTTTGAGAAAATGATGTTGAATTGCCTTCTTGAATCACTAGTCCATGTGATGTAGGTACAATATTGTCAAGTCCTTGAACTTTTTTCCTAATGACAGTGAAAGGACAGTGAAACAGTCCTACATTAGGAGAGGGTACAGCTTAGAGGGGAACTTAGAGACAGTGATCTTCCACTACATAAGGCTCCCTTATTTAGGAAAAGATATAATCTCATTGGTAGTTCAGATAATGTTTATTAGGATGATCCCCGGTATGGAGGGATTGTCTTATGAGCAAAGATTAAACAGGTTGGGATTGCACTCAGTGGAGTTTAGAAGAATTGAGAGGTGATCTAATTGAAATATATAGGATTCTTATAGGGCTTGACATGGTAAATGCTGAAAGGATGTTTCCCTTAATAGGAGAGTCCAGGACCAGAGGGCATAGTCTCAGAAAAAGAGGGGCCAATTTAGGACTGACATAAAGAGAAATTTCTTCTCTGTGGGGGTTGAGAGTCTTTGGAACTCCTTGCCACAGAGAATGTGGGGACAGAGTTCTGGTGTATATATAAGGCTGAGATAGATAGATTTTTGATTGGTAGGGGAATCAAGGGTTACGGGAAAAGGCAAGCAAGTGGATTGAGGAATGTCAATTCAACAATGAACCTACTGAATGGTGGAGCAGGCTAGAGGGACTGAAATGACTACTCCTGTTCCTATTTGTTATAGTTTTATGGCCTTATGTAGTACTGGTAAAAACTAGAATGTATTTAATCTTTTGACAACTATGGCAATATTTATCAAAATCTTAAATGTTCTTCTTGTCTACAATAACTCATTCTGTCTTGTATTTCACATACATCTTCCTGTCAAATATAATATAAATTTCTGTGTCCACATTTAGAATGGAACTATGTGAGCTGATGTTACAGATTCCTCCCAGAGTAACACTGTAATTCTTTACTACATATTGAAATGATGTAGCCTAGAGTTTGGAGAACCTCCTATCCACAACCAATTTTATATCTCTGCTTCCCAATTTGCTGTAAGATTTGCTATGTATCTAAAAATAATAACAGAATCAAAATGTTGTATAAAAATTACAGAATTATACTTGTCCAATTATTCCTGTTGCCTAATCTCAGTTCATTCAAATAGTATAGCCCGGGATAGTTTTGACTTTGGATCTTTAGTTTAAAATCTTAATGTTGATTCAACAGCATATTTTAAACCATTTCCAGATCCAACAAAGTCAATCAGCTGAATTGATATCACTCCTTTTACACTACTGGCCAAAGTCAAAATTAGCTTCTATTCCCCTCCCTTGTCTGCAACACAGATTATTCAAACTAGATTATTCATCTATTATGATCTCTTAGCTGTTATGTTAAGAATTATATTAAGAATTTGGTGCAGTATAATTCAAGGTGCCAATTTGGAAATTAATTCTTGCGCTAATTGTGCATGTAAATGACGCTCTCCTCTAACTTTGGAATTTAGTCTTGCAGGCCTCTCTGAGTCTTGCATTGGTGAAAGTGATTCCTTTGCACTTCAAGATCCTTTTTCTGAGAATATGTAACTAAATGAATGTGCAGCCCCTTCTATTGTGTCAGGTTCCTACTGCCCTGGCATCAGAAAAGTCACACAATGTTTCAACTTGCTGTCTTCCATTTAGATCCTTAAGTCTTTCAGCTAGTTCCTGGTACTTCATGAATGTTTAAACAACAATCTTCCAATAATTTATTTTTACAAGGTCAAGATCTTGTTTTACACACTGTTTACAAATTGCTTATTTGGCATGGCTGCTTTAGCTCTCATGTGATCAAATGCACAAAGACAATATTATGTACTACTGCCGCATTCTGACATCGCCCCTGAAACTGAATGGGGGTAAAAACAGATGCTAAGCATCAGTATCGTTAAATGTCTAATTTGTTAAAACCGTTCACTGTTTCAGGAATATTCTAGAATCCAGCAATAGCCCTCTACTTCTTACCTCCACTACAAACCACCTTCATTAATCCCTTCCACCTGTTTTCTTTACCCTTACCTCCAACAACAATTACAAGAAGCTCATGGACTTCGGCATTAAGGTTGAGACCATGGTTTCAGCAACCTCCCCCTCCCTTCCCCTACCCTAGCCTTGAGCTTCTACCTTTTTCTAATTTCTCTCCTGTCTCCCCTCATGCCCTCTCCATGCTCACTTCATGCTTTAGACTCATTTTCGGCTCCCCTTATTGTATCCTCCCGTAGTGAATGGAACCAGGTAGGTCTTGTTGACTGGAACAAAAACAAAGTTGCTGGAAAAACTCAGCAGGTCTGGCAGCATCTGTGAAGAAGCAAACAGAGTTAACGTTTGGGTCTGGTGATTCTTCCTCAGAAGGTTCTGAGGAAGGGTCACCGGACCCGAAACGTTAACTCTGTTTTCTCCTTCACAGATGCTGCCAGACCTGCTGAGTTTTTCCAGCAACTTTGTTTTTGTTCCTGATTTACAGCATCTGCAGTTCTTTTGGTTTTTATTCAGATCTTGTTGACTACGAGGTCCTCGATTGGTACAGGCTAACAACCCCAATCAGGAAGCCCTGGCTGACCAATATAACCAGGGGACAACTGTTTGTTTTGTGGCACTGTGGAGTCCGTGGACCTTGTATATATCGGGTGTGGGCGCTTGCACTCCCTTTTCAGTTACCTCAAAGGCCTCCTTTTGTGTTTTTGGCTACACTTCAGCCCCACGCTCCTGATCTGTGGGACCCTGGTGCGGAGGGGGGCAAGCAGGTCAGAGGATCTTCTTGTGGGTCTGCTCCTCGGCGTGGCCAAGCTAGTCATTAATAGGTCCAGGCAGTGGGCCCTGGAGAGGGTCGTTATGGCCAACTGCCTGCCCCTCCTCCGTGGCTACGTCCACGCTCGGGTGTCCCTGGAGAAGGAGCACGCGGTGTGCACTGGCGCTCTCGATGCCTTTAGGGAGAGGTGGGCACCGCGGGTGTGGAGTGCTTTATTTCCCCCTCTAATTCTATTTTAATTTGATCCCTACCCTCCCCTTTACCTTTCCATTCACATAGGCATTGCCCTCAGGGGGCTCTGCTTGCTTTAGTGACATGGGTATTTTTTCCTGTTGGTGGGCTATCAATAAAGTTATTTACACACCTGTTTTTTTTTTACTGTCTCACACCTGCACACACACAACTTGGGTGCTGAGGGTAGGGGGAAATAAAGGGAAAAAATATATATAACCAGGGGATTCAGAATCTTCTCACTTCAAGGACTGGCTCTGAGTTGGCTGGCCACAGCCAGTGTACTCTGCACGTGTGGATAAAGGGTGACTTGGTGATGGGGTACTGGCCTCTGCGCAGTTATTTCACCTCCTTCAACTGCTGAGGACATAATTTCACTGCCTGGCTCTCCTGTTAGCATATATTGTTAACAGTTCAAAATCAAAATGCCATGGATGCTGAAAATCTGAAATAAAAACAGAAAATGCTGAAAAAACTCAACAGGTGAGGCAGCATCTATGGAAAGAGAATCCAATGAAATGTTAACTCTGATTTTCTCTACACAAATACCTGCTGAATTTTACCAGTACTTTTTGATTTAATGATTAATTTTTTTGTTTTCTAACTTTAAAACAATATTTCTAATTTTTCTCTTTCACTATTTATTAACCTCGTCCTACAAGATGCTTTCATTAGTATTCCCTCAGTAAACAAACCCCTCTCATACATACAGCTTTACTTCATCACCACCACATCCAATTCTTCCAAATTTTTGAAGTTGTTACACAGCTATCTATCATCCAGTTCTGGATGAGTAGAAATGTCCTTCTAAATATTGGGAAGGCCCAAGCCATTGCCTTCTGTTCTCAAACCCACCACGTTATCACTCTCCTTACTCCGTCTGATCCTGACCTAGCCTGTTTGTACTTTTTGTGTCAGGATGAGCATCTAATTAAATCTTTCCACTGTCACTGATGCAGCCTATTTCCAACTCTGTAACATCGCCTAAGTTCACCTCTGCCTCAGCTCACCCGTACCTGAAACTTCACCCATGCTTGGCACCCTCTGGATATTACCATTCTACTACATTCCTGGTACACTTCTCATTTTCCACCCATTGTAATCCTGAAGTCATCCAAAAGTCTGATGCCCTTATCCTAGCTTTTACGAAGTCCCAATCACTTCTCACCCCCTTTTCTCTCTGACACACTTTGGCTCTTGCTAAACACCATCTCAATGTTTAAATTCTCATCCTTGTTCTCAAATCTCTCCCTTGTCTCACCCCTCATTATCTCCTCCAACACCTGAGATATCTGCACTCCTTAAATTCTCACCTCTTGAGCATTCCTGATTTTAATCAGCCACCATTGGTGAGCACACGTTCAGCAACAAAAGCTTAACTCTAGAATTTCCTCCCTAACCTAATTCTCTCTTCTCCATTAAGATGCTCTCTAAAATCTCCCTCTTATATGACCTAATATCTCCTTTTCTGGTCCAGTATCAAATTTCCTTTTAACCATGATCTGTAAATTTTGAATATTGAATGAGCCCCTGCGTGCGTGAAGGGCATCCCTCCAAAATAATTTTTCTGCTGAGTTCATGTAATGCAGGCAAGAACACATGAAACTCGCCCCTGATCTTTCTGAGATCTGCTGAATTGCAATGTAGGCTTCTTAGTTTTTGCACAGATTTTTTTCCCTTTCCCTTGTGCGTTTGATGTGTCTTAAATCTTATCACATTGAGCTGGAGAGTCCAGTGGTGTTTATCCATATTTTTCTGCTACGTTTCAATACTTGAAACAAGCGATTATATACCTTTGTAGCCTGCATTTAGACATTCTGCTATTATATTGTGAGACGTCAACAGAAATGATATTTAAGGCCAATAGTGAATATATTAAGAAATAAAATGACTGCAAATGCTGGAGATCTGAAACAAAAACAGAAATGGCTGGCGAAACTCAGCAGGTCCGGCAGCAGGTAGGGAGAAAGCAGAGTTAATGTTTTGAGTCTAGCGACTCTTCATCAGTTCTGATATTGCCAGACCTACTGAGTTTTGCTAGCCATTTCTGTTCTGGTTTCATTAATAGATATTTGACTGAATTCAATTAAAGTCAAACACAGCAAGAGGTGTTCTATGCTGCATTACCCAATCTCCGCTGGAGCAGGATTTGTAATGGGTTTAATTGAACTATCTTACTTGCAATAGGAATGGGGAAACAATTGGACCAGGTTCTATCTCCCAACTAATCCTAATGACTCTTACTGAAAAATGTATATATGTGAAATTCCTGTGGGAACATGATTATTATTGAGATTAGTGACCCTGTTAATAATCAATTAGCAAGCCACTGCATGGAATCAGACTTGAAGACTGAGTAATTGGGTAATATACTAAAGGGCTGCAGCATTTTTACATCATACCAAAGAACATGACCATGGTCAGAATCATCACAAGGTGTGGGGAGAAACTTGCAGCAAGATGGTGGATTATGATTTAGCAGTTGTATATAACATATGCAAACTATACCATGTAAATGTTTTCAGCATACAGATGAACTACTGAGAGATATATCAGTACTTACTTTTTTTTGAGACTGTTAAATGATGCATAAAGAGCTTCATCATTTTTTTCCTTAGTCACAATCTTGTGGTGACTATCAATGGCAGCAAATGCATAAATTAGATGGGTGCACAGGCAAGGAGGAATGTTTTCTGGCATAAACTTGCCTATTCCTGGTCTGTGCTGGGCCCAGTTTGTGAAATAACAAATCAATTTGTAGGAAATTCCTAAAAGTAGAAAATAATGAAGAATAAGAAAGTTATCCATCATCCTCTTTCTTTGAAACATTAACTGACATTAATATTGTGACTTACCCACTTCTAGTTGGGACAACAGCATGAATCCCACTGGAAAAAATGGCAAAACAAGTTTGTTTAAAATGGTGATTTATTCTCTCGTGTAGAATACATTTCAAATTATAAAAAATAGTTGTCTAGTTGCAGTATTTGATTAACTAGAAAGAGTATCACATCCTGAACTGGTAATAAAATTACACATGTTGCCAATTTTTTTTCATTTGTGGGTATTGCACAGAATCACAGTAATACAAAATTTGAAATTGATCATCTATTCATACTGCATCAGAAGAAGGTGCTAATTAGTTGGCCAGTGGAGTCTCATTGGTTGAGGCATTATCATTGAGAATGCATTAGGAAGATGGTAACTTCAAGCTTTCGTTTAAGTTTGAAACAGGAAAGTCAACATTGATTGGTCAAAGAATTGCTATGAAAAATCCTGCAGGGGAAGGTTTTCTGTCAAGCTCTTATTTGGTTGGAATGGTGCAATGTATGGGCATATTCTTTCTGTTTGCAAAGTACAGGGACCTGTGTATGAATATCAGTAGCTTCTATTAAACATAAGGGAGCCACATTGGGGCCCAACTGATAACCTTAAACAGTTGGTGCAATTCATAATGCAATAAGGATTGTTCAGTAAGTATTGTCCAATTGTGGAATCACACCTAATCTTGAGTTTGATGTTCTGATTTTTTTTCAAGTGTGGGCTGGATGAGTACAATCAGTCAATTGTCTGTCACTTAAACAGTCTGGCCTCAAGTCTTCTAGTCTCATTTTGGGAATTCCACCATCCATTGGAGTGGGTGTCAATGTCTTATGCTCCCACTTTGTGAACCCATCTGCAGACCTTAATTGGTTAGTAAATGCAGAATTTTCCCCTTATTTGGCTGCCTTTTGGAAGACTCTCCACTATAAAAATAAAGGTGCCATAGTCTTACCAGACTATAGGGCTGCTCTCTCCTTAGAGACAGATGAGCAGTGGTAGTTTAACCTGAGGGTCAACAGACCTCAAGTGACAGGAGTTGTTGAGAAGAAGAGTCCTTTGTGGTGCTAACAACATGGGTTCCCCACTATTAGTGCACTTCCATGCAGGGTTTAGATCTGCAAATTGTCCTGATGCTTGAAAACGTTTAAAAAAAAATTCTGTCCTATGAGTCTCCTTACCTTGTCTTAACTGCTCTCGTTATATCATTGACTTTCTTATTTACATTGCAGCCATATTTTGAATACAATTCCCTTTGCATTGACAGCAATTTCTTCCTGCTGCCTATAAAGAGGATGTCTCAGGGCAGAAAGGATTTCCCACCTGTCCATTGCAGCCTACACAATGGTCACAAGTGAAGCATCTAAGAATCTTGGAATCCACTGAACAACTCCTTCAATCATTTCTCCAGGTTTAGCTTGCTTCTCTTCTGCAGCCAGAATGCACCTGGACTCTAGCAGTCACTGGATACCATTATATGGTGTCATAATTGCCCAATATTTGGCCTTCCTGATAGGCCTGCTGATCATGTAGAGTGTGAATAGCACATGCTACCTTTGTGGCTACTCAAAGGCATATGTAGTGTACACCCCACAACAGCCCTTGCCCACCAATTTTCGAGTGCAATTGGAATTTTAAATTATTATGTATGCATCATGTGTCATGGTTTAGGCCTACCAGTTTTGTTTATTAAAAATGTTATTGAACCTCTTTAAACAGCAGTTGCAGAATACTTAACACACAGTATTAGCAAGTAAACCACAGCTCAACCCTTTCGTATTAAATGCCTTTAGTTTACAGCAAATATACCATAACACAGCATTATATTTAGCTTATAATTATGGAAAGATTTTATATATATTTTATCATTTTCTTACTTACCAATTAAGCCAGACACTTTCTCCATTTGTGGACTCAGTTCACTGTCAGTGTCTCTGCAGCTTTATGCTTGTTGTAGTCAATGACACTGTGGTACTAAAGATACCATGTAGTCTCCATAGTTCCTATAACAGAAAATGATTAACTAAGAAGTTAAGGTGGTGGGACAAATAGATAAACTTCTTCAGTGATGAATGATAAACGTTTGGAATGATCTACCAGGACAGGTAGTGGAGATAATGACATTACTGGACTGCAAAATGCAAGTTAATATAAGGCTGGATGAACTGGTTTAGTAAGGGGGCGTGTTTATTGGCGGAATGAATACCTTTCTCCTTAGATTTACCATGAATAAAAAATGTAAATATGAAGCACTCGAAACGTTAATTCTGTTTCTCTGTCCGCAGATGCTGCCAGACTTTGTGTTTCTCCAGTAATTTGTTTTTCCTAATGTGATGGAGGTTCTGATGTCTGCACTGGTGCATTAATTTACTCAATCTGGAATTTACCCTTACTGTTCTATCTCTTTTGAATTAATTTATTCAAATCAGGGGTGCTTTCTCAGCATTGTAAATTCAATATTGTACACGTGCAACATTTACGACAAACTCACAAATCCTTTCTAGTTTTGTTGTTAATTTCTAATATCATAGATTCTATTTGTCAATAATAACGCCTCCATTCTACCTGAAGTCCCTCACAACATCATATACTATACCCCATCCGTTAATTTCTCTCTGATTTCTCTCCACAGATGCTGTCAGACCTGTTCAGCTTTTCCAGCAATTTTGTTTTTGTTTCCCATCCATAAATGTGTTCCACAGACCCCTTCAATCTTTACACGGAGATGGCTGTTCCTCCTGTCTGCCTTATTTTCACTTGCTGGGTCGTGGTGTGCCAACCAGTCGTGGTCTCACCCAAAATTTCATCCGGATACAGAATTTATTCAATCCCATTGCACGGACAGTGAGATCAATTGCACGGCTCTTTCAAAGAGCCGGCATGTGTGTGATGGATCGAGTAGCCTCCTCCTTTGCTGTGTCATTCTATAATCACAGGTTCGCTGATCTGAGTAACTTTGCAAAGTGAACAGTGCACTCGAAATGTCCCCTTCTTTGCCATTCACACCACGTTTTTTGGCAGTCAGGCTTCTTATACGGGACTAATCCGGTGGGGGGGGGGTAAAGGAAAAAAAAACCGGGATGCGGGGGGGGGGGGGCAGTGAGGTGGGAAGTATATTCTTGCTATAAGGACTCGACACGCTGGAAATCCCAAGCGCATGCGTGCAGCTGGTGGTTTGCAGGTAAACACTGGGTAACCCTTGGTAACGGAAAGTAACAGTGTTCGGCATGGCTCTGAAATGGACAGGTGAGATGTTTCCACTCCGACCTATTCAGTGTGTTTTTGTTAGCTGCGGCATGGAACTGCAGACAGTGAGGGGGCCACTGAAATAAAACATTAAATGGAATCAGCAATGTGTCCTCATCTGGCCTGTAGGGAGAGATAGCAGGAACTGCAGATGCTGGAGAATCTGAGATAACAAGGTGTAGAGCTGGATGAACACAGCAGGCCAAGCAGCATCAGAGGAGCAGGAAAGCTGACGTTTCGGGCCTAGACCCTTCTTCAGAAATGGAAAATGGAACTACTTGGCCTGCTGTGTTTCATCCTGGCCTGTAGGGAGCCGGTTTAAAGGGTTAAATAGTTTCTAACTCCGTAAGGATTTGCCAGCGTGAAACAGAGGGGAAAACCAGTTTCCTTTCTGATGGGTGTTAGCTGCTTTTAGAGAATACAGGGTGGATTGAAAGGAAACAGTACCTTACCATGTTGGGTGTGTTGGATTTCAAGCTGGTGACTTTTTTGTTTTTGAAGATAGAATCTTCTGACCAGCTATTTGGCCCATCAAACCCATGCTGTCCCTCTGGAAAAGCTATTGGATCAGTATAATTCTTTCTCTGTTGCCATGTTTTTTTTCTTAAATTTCAAATACAATTCCAGTGCCACTTTGAAAGTTACCATTGAATGAGCTTCTTTTCAAATAGCATCACATTTTCTAGTTCCATAAAATTTGAAGTAATCACTTTACAACTAAAAATGGTAGGGCTTCTTTGAGAGTATTTCTTCCAGTTGTCCAATTGGTTTTTTTTTAACTGATACATTGTTGCTCAGTGACACTCGAGAGGTAAATTCTCACAACGGTTGGTTCCTAACTCATCACAAATAAAATATAATCTCTTTTTAATTCAAAAACCTTTCCATATCAATATAATTGTCCCAAATATTAGTTTTGTTCTGTTATCTAAAAATTACGAAAGACTAACAATTGACTTTTACAATTAAGCCAAACAACTTTAGAATTTATTGCAGCTTATTTGCTCAAGATATCATTCATGTATTACTTAGGTGGAAATGTGCCTCTAATTTTGAGTCTTGGCAGCCTACTGCAGGATTTCTTGTGCTCAGTTTTATGATTCTGCAGTTTACAGATCAATCATTTCAAACCAAATACTCAGAAAGTGAGCTTAAGTCATGGCAGAACAGCTTGGCTGAGTGAAATGCCCACTCTGAGCCAGGTGGTGTCATGGATGCTTCATGTGGCCTAGTCTTGCATAGTCATCAATTACAAAATTTTGAGCTCAGAGTTTGTAGAGGACAGAGTCACTACGGTACACCTTTAAAGTGACAACTACATGGAAAGCACATTAAACACAGAGCATGCAGGCAGAGAAAGAGTTGGTGATTTTTAGGCATCTCAGAAAGGACCAGCAGGAAGTATAGGAACCTCCCAACTCTGTATCCAGTATCCTCACCACTGGATACTGGTGACAGTGCAGGATACTCAGAGGTATGTAGAAACAGCCAGGTTAGTGGCACCACCAGCTGCACAAGTGAGGGGGAGCAGGGGAAAAGAGAGGTAAGACAATAGTAGAGGGTGATTCAAGAAAAAGAGAACAGACAGACATCTCTGTACCTGTAGATATGACATCAGGACTATATGTTGCCTTCCAGGTGCCCGGGTCAACAATGTCACTGAATGACTGACTGCAGGACATTCATTTGGACATGTGTGACAGTCAAAGGCCATGGTCCACATTGATACCAGCAGCAGAAGTAGAGAGAGGGTTGAGATTTTCATAGGATTTAAGGATACAGGGAAGAAATTGAAAAGTAAGACCTTGACTGCAGTAATCTCAATTTTACTCCCAGTACCACATGCTAGTGAGTGTATAAATAGGAAGATTGTGTGTGAATTAACATATAGCTGAAGAAATGGTGCAGGAAGGAGGATTTGAATTCAGGATTTGTATGGGTGAATTGATGGGGCGACTAGAGTTATCTTGGGCATAACTTATTTGCCATTACAGATTCATAGCAGCAGGATGACCAAGATTGGGAACTAAATATTAAAAAGATATGGGACATTTAGGGAGGACAGGCAAAAAGGGAAAAAGGAGGTGGGGTCGTGCTGATAGTAAGGGATGGGATCAGTACGTTAGGAAAAGATAATCTTTAATCAGAACAGGATGTGGAATCTGTTTGGTTGGAGCTAAGAAACAGCAAGGGGCAGCAATTTTTTGTAGTAGCGCTTTACCGGCCAAGCAGTAGTGGTAATAGCAATATTAATAATAGTAAGAGTAGTGGAAGGGGATAAATCAGGAAATTAGAAGAGCATATAGAAAGGAAATGCAATAATTGTGGGTGAACTCAGTCTACATATAGGGTTGAAAAACTAATACTGTGGAGGGAGAGTTCTTAGAATGTCTTTGAGATGGCTTTCAGAAGCAACATACTGAGCAATCAACTGAGCAATGAGAAAATTCTCATTTACAAACTAAAAAGAATTTGGTTCAATTGACTTAGAGATAGTAAAAACTGCCGATGCTGGAGTCAGAGATAACACAGTGTAGAGCTGGGGGAACACTGCAGGTCAGGCAGCATCAGAGGAGCAGGAAAGCTGACGTTTCAGGTTGGAACCCTTCTTCTGATACTGGCTGACCTGCTGTGTTCCTCCAGCCCCACACTGTATTACCTTTGGTTCAATTGACACTTGGTTCTTAAATCTAAACAAAGGTAATTAGGAGAAGTAAGTTGGCTGTTGGCTATGATGGTTGCAAAAATACATTAAACAGGGTTGGAAATAGATAGGCAATTGCTAGTATTGAAGTAACTGACACCTATTTTTCAAAAAAAAACTCCTTTAAAACAAAAAATACCCAACAAGGAAGTGAGAGATCCATGGCCAAAGGAAGTTCAAGGTAGTGTTAGAAACATATGTAGAAATTAGGAATATGAGTAGGCCATTCAACCCTTCAAGCCTGCTCCAACATTCATTATGATCATGGCTGATATCCAATTCAATAACCTGTTCACACTAATCCTCTCATATCCTTTGATCCCGTTAGCTTCAAGTGTTATATGCAACTGCTTCTTGAAGTCATATAATGTTTTGGCCTTGACTGCTTTGTGGTTGCAAATTCCAGAGGCTCACCGCTCTCTGGGTGAAGAAATTTTTCATACAACCTTTAAAATGGTTTACCCCCATATCCTTAGACTATAACCCCTGGTTCTGGACTCCCCCATCATCGGGAATATCCTACCTGTCTAGTCTTTTAGAATTTTCCTTTTTGTCTATCCTTCCTAAGTACTGAATAGCCCTGAGTAGTCATTCCCCATCCCTGGTCACTGTGCAGCCATGTTCAGTAATTCCAACTAATTCAAATCTGTTTTCATCTACTTACACAATTCATTTTTATGTGAATACTCTGGGCATTAAGGCATTAACGCATCATCCTCCGACACTTCCGCCATCTGCAATCCGACCCCACCACCAAAGACATCTTTCCCTCCCCACCTTTATCTGCTTTCCGGAGGGACAACTCTCTCCGTGACTCCCTTGTCCG